TTATCCTTCATTTAAGTAAATAACATTTGAAGAAAACTCTTTTGCAACATAATGCTAGTTCAGATAGCTCGCCCTACCACCTGTGCCCTAGACACTCGCTTACTCCTGATAGAAACACAGCCTTCAGGAGACTACACACTCTCCCCCTGACAAAGTGACAAAGCAGCCAGTATGTGCTGAATTTGGGTTGTGTAGACAAAAATACCAGGTATTCCAGCCAAGGCGCTCAGAGTTTGCTGTGAATCATCCACACCAGCGTTCAGCAGTTAGATTTGCAGAACAATTGCTCAGTTCCTTCCTTCGTTTTCACAGTGTAGACCTGGCCCAAGACCCAAGAGTGAAGCAGCAACTGTAAGGAAACAGAAACTTAAATAACTCAGAGAACCCTTTTATAACAGCAACTGCCTGCTGACTTTGTGGCCTAACAGCTCAAGCAAGAAAGGATATAAATACAGTATTGTGCAATGACTAATTACTCAAAATGTTGTGCATCAGCAGAAGTGGAACCTGTGGTTGGTGCTAATATTATCAAATGCCTTGGCTGTTTAATAATCCTGTAGCTCTGTATTATTTAGCATGCAGTTTTCGTGGAGAACAATGATTTTATTTCAAGTACCTCTCACTGAAAAAAAAAGCAGCTGTTAGAAGACGAACATTTGGCAGAAAATGTTTTAGCGGAATCTTCTGTGTGATACTAAATCATATTGGATTAACTGTTTTCTGTCTAGAATAGTGGAGTCAAAAATTAAAAAGATCACTGACCACAGAAGGCAAGGCCAGTCTTTAGAATCCAGTGAATCACTAACAGACATTTTAGTTTTAAGTGCCATTTATTCACCAATATATCAAGTTATTTATATACAAAGCTTCCATTAATAGTGCCTGAAGAATGGGCCTTTTTTATTCCAATTGCAGTTCATACTCAAGATTCTACTTCTCTTTCATTAATAATGGAATTCTTTAAATTATAGAATAAATTAATACCCCACAGACATTTTGGCCAGAATGGGGTTTTTTTAACCAGTTTTGAGTCTCCACAGGCCATTGTGTGTGGCTGGCCAGACAGAAGAGCAGTGAGGGCTGTGCCAGAGAGTGGCCCTGCCGAGCACGCGCCAGCCCTGCCCCTGCAGAGGCACCGGGGCAGCCCCGGGCTCCTGGGCTCATGGCCCACCCACTCCCAGGTTGACAACAGACCCTCACAGGTTTTTCAGACCCCAGCCACTGGAGAGGAAGTGACATCATGACGTGGCTGCTGGGCATTGCCATATTCAGCCAAAGAGCATTATGATCCAGCTACTTTCATGTGGCCATGTTGATTCAGGAACATTTTCACTTGAAATTATTATTACCTCAACACAATTCTCCACTTTTCTAAACTAACAAGCAAAGTACAAAGCATAGAGTTTCACCCTATCCCCAGTTTCCATTCCTGGGGTGGAGTGGGTGATGGGAAAAGATTAAAAATGGAGGGGTTTCAGAGATGGCTAAGGATTGCTTACAGGATAGCGCTAGCTCAAAACAGCTTCATCAGAGTGCTCATTTCAGTACTGGTGTGACTGGCCAGCCCAGAACCCATCAACAACCAGAAGCTGAGAGTGGACTCTGAGACACTGAGTTGGGCCCCATATGGAGCCAGCAGACGACCTGTCAATACAGACCATTAGCTTTCTTGGACCAGGAACATGTCACCAATAACGAAGCCAGATCAGTTCATGGCGCTGACCTCAGAGGTAGAACACCACAACCATGTACATCCAAGGGGGAAGGCTGGGACAGGCGAAACACGTGGCAACAGGCTGGCAAGTTCTTTCGCCTTTGACTCAACTTTAGATCAAATCCAAGTTGATGCAGTTATTATGATCATCGTACTCTTACAAACTGTCACTAAATACTAGTAGGGTACCAATCAATGCAGAATCTGGCAGTTGTGGGCTGAAGGTTGGTAGAGTTTTTCTTGTTCTCTAGTAGTTGAATTTTAATCAATATGTTGAAAATTGAAAGACCAGACTCATTTTTTAATACCACCTACAATCTTTTGGGGCAGTGAAATGCTGCCTTGCACGTATATTACCTCACCTGACTTTGATTTTGCACTCAACCTCCCATTGATCCCTGTCTGTTTTCATCCATCTAAATGAAAGAAGGCTTTTGCCCCATAAACCTCATTCCAGAAGGAAATGCATAATTCAAGAAAAATACTGATGTCAAAGAAGAGAAGGCACACCAATTTGTGTCAGCAGTTGTTATAAATTAAAGAGGAGTACAAGGAGAATTTAATATAATGTAGAGTTGGAAATAAAATTAGAACCAATATTTAGGCAGTCCTCCACTCCTTTTTTCCCCACTGTGACATGAAGGATTGACTCCCAGCTTAAGTACCTAATGTAGTTCATTTTTCTTTTCTGCTACGATTTTTCCCCTATAAAATGTTGCATGTTTACCTTTGGCATCCAAAATTAGACCTTTTCACTTTTTCCATTCTAATCGCAACAGAAAAGGTAGCATAGGAAGAGTCAAAGTTTTCCCTTCGTCTTCTAACCCATCATGTTTGCAGCATAGAAAGGACCCCACTCTACCAGCCTGACTAGTTCAACTGCCGTAAATAACTATTAATTCTTCCTTAATATTGATTCTCTCTAATGTGGGTGTCGCCTCCATGGATTCTTTTGTTTTTCTAAAGCTGGAAGATAAAAGGTTGATAATGAACATCTCAGACATGTATGACCGTGCTACTGAACATGAGAAGAATTCTTTAGCAAGCATCCAAAAGGAGTAGTCCCATCAAACTGCCATTATTCAGAACCTTTTTGGAGCGCTTTATTAAAATTTCCCTCAGAGCCAGTGATGTTCCTTATAGTCACCCATTGTGTTTGGCCAGTGGTGGAATTCCCTAACTTGATCTCCCATCTTAATCACTGGACTTGGTTGTAAATGATTCACTCTTTCCAGAAATTAATTCCTTAGGATAGTGGTTCTTAAAGGTACAGCCCTGGACCAGTAATACCAGCAACACCAGGGAGCTGATTAGAAACACAAATCCTGGATCCCACCCCAGATTTAATGGATCAGAAACTTTGGGGGTGGAGCCCAGCAATCTGCTTTTTAACAAGCCCCAAGCAATTCTGATGCACACTCTAGTTTGAGAACCACTGACTTAGAAGATGAAATATTACCATCACTGAGGATATTCAAAGATGGTGCTACTGATTTTTAAGGTATTCCAAAGAACAAGCTTCAAAATCTTTTTGAGCACAGTTGGAGTACATGTATGGCCTCCCCCAGGGGACTGCTTTAATAGAGACTGGCCTTTCACTGAGACGCCACAGTTCTGCCACCTAGTTGTTAGACCATAAGCAAGTTCTTACAGTTGGTTTCTCATCTGGAAAATGAAAGGCCCGCCCTAGCTACCTCACCGGATTGTAATGAGATTCAGAGTGAATCACATCTACAAATATGCTCCGTAAATCAGAAAGTACTATGGAAAAGTGAAAGTCATGTCATTCTGCAGACAGGACTCTGGTAGTCTGAGCATTATGTCAGAGCAAAGGGCTGGAGAAAGGCCTGTATTTACCATTCCCTTGGCCAGATCCACCTTTTTGTCCAAATAATGACTGATTCATCTGCTTGGTGGATGTGCCTAAGATTCTACCATCTCACTCACCAACTTATGTGGTGTTAAGAGAGGAAAACCATTGCCTGACTACTGGCTGCAAGGGGCTAGAAAAATATATCCATTTCAGACATGCTATTTTCTAGGGAAAGCTCAGTAAAGATGGACTGTGGGCACTGCACTCTCGTGCCCAGGACCTGTCACACACTAGCAATGCAAGGGTCTGTACTAAAACCACCCATTTCAGCCCTTTGCTAGAGAGTCATGACCTTTAAGAAGGAAGCTAAGTGTCTATTGCCACATACTAGTCATTGCAGAGAGGACCAAACAGAAAATCCCCCCAGCAAACCAAATCTATAGAAACCAAGATTTAGAAACAGACCAGTTAATGTGTCTGTGCTTGAGATGAATGTGGGTGGCTCTTCCCTTAGAGGTTAGCCTTTACAAACAACTTCACCGTAGGAATTCTTTAACACTTAAGTTCCCGGTACGTTCGTAATTTACCTTTGAAACTCTACAGACTGTTGAGTGAACATATCTGGGCAGGAAGGAAGCTAAACCTGTTGCCTTGTGCTTGTTGGGAGTGCAGTTTTAGTAACAAAGAACAGTTCCCACTAGGCCAACATCAACCTCACTTTTCATACAAAGTGGCAGCTAAAATCAAGAGCTTCTGTATGAATGTAATTGGTTAATTATGATTAAATTATTGGTTAATTATGGGAAGATAAGCTGTTGGTTAATTATGGAATTAGAACAGGAAGTGATTTTGCTCAAAATGTGTGCCTATTTAACAAATCTGTAGAGACAGAAAGCAGATTAGTGGTTCCTGGGCCAGCGGCGAGTAGGGAGGAGTGAGGAGAGACTGTTAATGGGTCTGAGGTTTCTTTTACAGGAGACAAAATTTCCTAAAATTAGATTGTGGTGACGGTCGCTCAACCCTGTGAAAATCGTATACTTAAATGGGCAGATTGAATTATATCTCAATCAAACTGAAAAAATCTAACTCCTAATGAATTCTAGATCCGGGGAAAATACTGTGTCTGTTTAAAAGACAGAAATTAAAATCACATCAAAACTTTGCTGCGCGTGGTTTCATACTTGATCAATATGAAACAGTGATCATTTGAAATATATTAAGGCAGAAAATATTTGCTTTCTTTCAGTCAGAGTATTTTAAAAGCAATCTATCTCAGCCAAATAATTGAAATTTAAATGTAATAAATTAAGGCAGCTAATAGTGGAAGCCAGTCATGTACATTTATGACATAATGATCAGTCCATGTTCCCTCTACAGATTTATTTAGAAGAATCAGCTGCACTTACACAATAATGATAAGAAAAGTGGATTCTCAGTGTCTATGGTGATGCTCCTAAACTCATCTGGTTACAGGGAAGGCCGGAAGGTTGAGGATGGAAAGGACATGATGTCATCCTTATGATGTGAATATGCGCTGATAAGAAAAGAGAGAAATATTCAGATTTGCGCTGTGAAACGGAGCTCTTGTGAAAGCAGCATCCTATCTCGTGGTATGTTTACAGACTGATGGCTCAGTTTTGTCTGCCCAGGAGAGAACCTTTGCCCTTTCCTGCCTTGGAAGATAGGCCAGGCCACACTAGCTCTAATCTCCCTGTTAAAGTCCTCGCTCCAGGGCTTGGGGCTTGCCAGCGGCTTGCTGGTGGCCATGGAGAGTGTAGATTGAGGTAAACAGGAAGGGAACTGGCTGGGAAATGTAGGCATTTCTGGCTCAGTGGAAAGAAAACAGGCAGCTACCAACACCTGCCTAGCAAGCCTTGCAATTTGGCGGTTGCTGGTTAGGGCTTCTTAATGCACTGAAAGACCCTGACCGTTCTTTGCAGCAAGAGGCCCTACTCTGGGGTTTCTCACACACCTTTTTTTAAAATTACCACGCACCCACCCATCCACCCCGAGGAAACTTTTAAGAGATTTTTTTTTCCCAATTGTCTTCTTCTCCCATGAAATTTTAATACCACAGATACCCATTCATAGTCCCTGTCTCTTTGTCTGTTTACATACTGTGGTCCTTGGGAGAGCCACAAATCACTGTAATATCTATGACTGTTTTTCACCACAACCCACACCCCTACCAATGCAAGAACGAATCTTCACCCCAATGCGAAGATACGGTCCCAGTTGAGAACGTGTGCCCTGGATGGAATGAAGGGTCTCGGCAGGGCCTTTCTCCTTCTGCTCACACTTGAGTGAGTGGTGAGGTCAGTCACACAGAGAAGGCAGACCAGGGGCCCAATGTCCATCACTCACCGAGAGAGGCCCTGGCTTCAGGTTCCAGCATGGCTAGAGGAATGTCCTCCAAAATCACACTGTCCTGCACCATCTGTTCAGCCTGCCTGCCATCCCACAGGCTCTGCCACCACCTCCCCTCCCTGCGGAGAGCCCTCTGCCCAGTGATGGGAAACAGGGTCCTCCATCAAAGCAGCAGCGCAGATGGAGGTGCAGAGACTTCCCAGCCAGCAGGTCCCTTCCTTCCCGTGCTGTCCTCCAGCCCTCCCCAGCTCCGGGCCTCTCCCCGTGGCCTCACTCAACGTCCTCCCTCTGTTCCTTCACCCAAATGAAAGCATGAGATTTACCAGGTTTCCCCAGTCTTGCCCGGCCCTTTCTACTCTTCACTTTACATTTCTCTAAGCTCCTGCTCACACACTCTTTAAAGGCCTCAGAACCCCTGCCCTGACAGAGAAATGGACTTCAGAGATTCCAGCACAAACAGATGGCCACTGCTGGAACTCCCTGGAGCCTGGCCTCTCTGGTAATCAAGAGCCACAGGACAGGCTTCTGCCCCTCTGTCCCTTCCTGCCTGTGAGAGCGTCCCTGCATACCCTCATCCTTCTACTCTGAGCTGGGAACAGATAGCCGGTCACATGCCCTAGGATCATGACTCTCTTTGTTCCTTAGAACCCTTCTGCCTTAGATCATGGGCTTTTGTTTCCAAAAACGTTAGCAAATTTAAGGGGTCTCTGAGATGATGCCATCTGGTCTCCCCCACCTTTGTTGAACACCTGCTCTGCTCCAGACACTGTGCTAGGCCTTTTCACATACATTATCCAATTCACTATTTACAATAGCCCTATGAGGTCGGTGCCCATGTTATAGATAAATAGTCACACGAGACGCTGAGTCACTTGCCAGAGTGGGGAAATCAGGACTTAAAGTCAGGGCCATCGGCTTCCACATCATTTACTACATCGTCCCAGTGGAGAAGACATGTCCCTACTTGAGAAAAACATTTTTCCCAGCTGAGTACAGAGGGGCTTCACGGTTGGTTTACCATCCTTAAAAGCTGACACAGATAACAAAAAGGGCAGCAGGCAGGATTTGACACCAGGTGTGTGTCCTTCTGTGCTCCTTCCCCAAGGTTCCTGACACCATGTCTCCTGCCCATCCATGATTAGCCCTTTTAAAGACAAAGAATGGCTTGTAAACTCTCCCAGGCCCAACCAGATGTTCATGCCTCAGCCTCCTCCCAACAGGAACAAGGCAGAAGCCCCATTCTTGGACCTGGGAAGCAAGAGCAAAGTAGGACTTGCCACCAAACTGGCCTGAGGGGAAGCCACCTCAGCAGCTCTGCCTGCACAGGGCTGGAAGGTAGCAGGGACCTTAGTGGGTTTACACTGTTCTCTGTCCCTTTCCTGAGCCCCTTGTAGTATTCTTTTTTATGAAGAAGAAATAGCCCATTGACTTGGGATTTAGTCATGTTTCTTCCCATTTGCCTTTTCCCTGGCCTCTGAAACCACGAGCCTGGCTGAGGAATTCAGGTCCACAGTGGAAGCTTTGAAGAGCTTTGTGTGGGGAGAGGTTTTGCAAAGAAAGGAAAGTGGTATCTACTTGTCAGATGGAATGTGTTAACACATCAGGGAGGAACGCAAGGACTTTAACTGTTATGGTCCCTCGGCAGTTTGGGTGATGAATCACCCGGTGGCGTGGGTACAGATTCCTAACAAATGAAGCTCCGCAATGACATCAGTCTTGCACGATAAGTCTGGGCTCTGTTGTAGGCGCCTGACAAGTTCTTACCTTGCGGATTTTCACCACACTGGGTTTTCTTTTTTTCCCCAGCCACGCTTAATTCCCATCGTGCCTTACAAGTCTCCCATTTTTCCATCAGCTGGAATCTGGCAAACTAGGACTTGCACAAGTCTGTCTCACTGTCATCCCTCCTACAGGGCATTCTTGGGACGGTGTGTGCTCCTCACCTAATCACTCCACACCCATCCTCCTGACAGTCCTGGATTCAGTCAGCACGTATTTTAGCGGCGAGCCTAGCCTTGCAGTATCCTGAGGGTGCAGAAGTGACGGAGACCATGCCAGAGGACAGGAGTGTCTAGGAGGGTACCTAACCCAGACTCGTGGAATCAGGGGAAACACAGTGCTTTGAATATAGTGCCAGTCAGCAAATGTGTGATGACTAAGTTAATACCTGAGTTGAATCTTAGAAGAGGAGTAGGAGTTAGTCTAGGAATGAATTCAAGCTGAGATATCTCCATGAAAACCCAAGGTTCCATAAGTGAAAAGGAAGAAGAGATGAAACTAGAGAGGTGGGCTAGGGGCCCTCGTGTGCCATGCTAAGGAGCTATAGTTCTATCCTAAGAAAGATGAGAAATGTACAGACGGCTTTAGGCAGGGAAGTGAGGTGGCCAGATTTACAGCAGTATAGAGGATGGAGTGGATGGGGCCAGACTAGAGACAGGGAGACTAGTTAGGAAGTTAATGTGGTCTTCCAGAGGTGATGGAGCACGAAGGAGGGCAATGGGAGTAGGGATGCGATGAGAGAACAGATTAGAGAAGTGTTTAGAATTTAAACTTGCCAACTGGTGATTATCCAGAAGACCCCCGCCCCCAGATTTTCAGTGTGGATGTGCCACAAACTGAAAAGATAAGAAAAGGCCCGTGTTCAGTCAGAGCTGAGTTCAATTCGGGCATACTGAGTTAGAGTTGCCTGCAAGAGACATGAGCTGGTCAAGCTGACACACAGGTAGTTAAGATACATGAACCCGAAGATAGAGGAGAGCCTGGGCTAAAGATAATGACCTAGGACTCAGCATATTCACAGCAGTTGAAACGATAACAGCATACTATTTGAGACACCCAGGAAATTATGGGGAATAAGGAGGGCAGTGAGCGAAGGACAGAACCTGGAATACCAACATCGATGATGCGGGAGGAGGAAGAGAGAGACCCATGGCAGAGACAAAGAAGGAAGGTCAGAGAGACACGGGGACCCAGGACAGTCCCTTACTGCTCTGTACTTCTCTCCCCCATTAACCTTCTGGCTGTCCTGTTCCTTATAAGCAAGCTCTTTTACAGCTTAGCTCCCTATACAGCCCTTGAAGGTGAAAGCTGCTCCTGATCCGAAGGCACATTCATTGTAGCGTCCAGCCATCCTTCCTCTGCCCTCCTGGAGAGATTCCTGCATCTCTGGGGCACACGCAAATCAGTTATAAAGCCTCAACCTCCTTTCCTGATCATTCTCTGTTTATTTAAGACTTTGACATCCACTTCACCATTTTTCTCTCCCGTGCCCCTGCCAGGGCTACCACCATGCAGGATGACTTCGGGACCACGAGGATGAACCATCACCAGGTCTCACAGTTCTATAGTTCTCATGCCCTCACCTCCAGTGACTCTTCACCTCCACCCCAGCCTCCCACTCCCATGACAACTTCCAGGAAATGGTTAATACCTGGCATGACTTCAGTTCTGTGGGACTAAATCTCACATCCTCCTCTTTGACCACAACCAGCTCTCTCACCTCCTCTCCTACACTCACTTGTTCTCACTTTCCTTAGTTCCCTCCATTTTCCTCTGAACTGTTGACCCCCTCCTGACCTCTCTGCCCTCCCTACCCAGGTCAGACTCTTTGGTTCTCTGTCTGGTTTTGCTTTCCTGAAGCCTCTGCTCCCTTTGTAGCCTCCCTCTTCCCCTACACCTGCCCAGGGCGACTCTGGTTCACATGCTCTGCTCCTGCCCCAAGCACGCAGAGGGAAACGGGACCCCATGCAGAGGGCCATCCATGGTCTCCACTCTCACCCCTGTCATTCTTCACTGCTAGAGAAAACATAAGCCCTCCCCATGAGGAAATACAAAGATTTGAGCAGTAGCCAGAAGACCAGTCTGTCTCCCAAAATAGCTTCTCCACCTGCTCTGTTGCTAGATTTCTACACAGATGTCCTTGGTATAATCTTGACTGCTATTTACCACCTTTATTCTTACCTTGGGCAAGTTATTTAACCTCCTCCAATCCTAGTTTGCTCAGTTTTAAAATAAGGATCCCCTAGGCTTGCTGCCAGCTTCTATGGCGCATTGTGCAAGTTAGAAGGCGCCTCTCCGAACAGGCCCCCGGCTTAGGGAGCTGAGCCTGGCCCGCAGACCCACAGTCACCCCCTCACCTGGGCGGCCTCGTGCAGAGCCACCTTGCAGAACCAGACACTGCAGCCCCAGCTACACCCACCCCCAACAGGGTTCTTGTGAACTAAAGGCGACAACCTGCACAGCA